AATTAAATATACCATCGCAAATTATTAATAAAAAAAATATATAATTTTGTTATTTAAACACAATTAAAATATAACAATAAAATTTAAGATATATATAATTTTTTTTCTTATATTTAAATATAATTATAATTTATATGTAGTGTAATAATTGATAATTAATAAATAAATTAAAAGAAAATTTTATAATTTATTTAATTAATTAAGAAAGTAAAATATTGATTATTAGAGCTAGAAGAGATAAAGAATGATATAAGATAGCATTAGAAAAGACATAAATTATTATTACAAATCAACCGTTTTGATAACAAGTGAGACAATGCAACTTAATTATTTTGCTGCATTGAGAATAAAATTTGTGGAGTAATAAGCTTTACTACTATATTTGTTTCAGTGTTAATTTGATCGTGCTCATTTTCAATGTCTTTTTAATAAATTTTCAGATTGAGATAATTCTAATAATATTTTTTCGTCATCATTCCATTTTGTAAAAATATCATAAATTTTTTCTGCAGTTGGGCGATTTCCTGGGCATTTCTCCCAACATTCTTTCATTAAATTTATATAACATTGTGGTGTGTCCTTGAAGATTGGTGGCCTCAAGTTATTACAGCATATTTCTATTTGAAGCTGGTGATTAAACTCCCGATTATAATATACAGATTTTCCGTATAATATCTCCCACATAATTATACCAAATGAGTAAATATCGGATGCAGCAGTATATGGCTTTTTATCAAAAATTTCCGGAGCAATGTATGGTAAAACACCACAAATTTCTTCAGGCCCTATCTTATCTACAATATTAGAGTGTATTAATAGTCCTAAATCAGCAATATATGCACTGTATAAATTATCTTGCAATATGTTACCACTATGCAAATCTCGGTGAATAAGTTCTTGAGAATGAATTATTTGTAGATCAGAAACAATGCAAAGTAGCAAATTTTAATTTATCCTTCCATCTCATTTGTTTTATAGAGTGAAGATTTTTACGTAATGATCCCATTGATGCACAGTCTAAGACAAGAACATAATCTTTAGAAATGTCGTCTTTTGATATTCCAATACATTTGAAAAAAGAAGGATTTTTATAACCGATGTCACAATATGCTTTTAACTTTAAAATTTAATGGAACATTAGTTAAAGAATAAAAGACGTATGGGTAATCTAATAAAATTTACCTCTTTTATAAACTCTTCTTGATATTTATTTGATTCATGTAATAATTTAAGTGCAACATTTATTCTTGATTCTTGACTTTGATCTGTCCACTTAGCTCCGTATACTGTTGCAAATCCACCTTCTCCTATCGTTCCAAAAATTTTAAATTCATTATAAGGAATCCATAATAATGAATATTTATCATTAGTTAATATATTTTTTAAATCGTCATCGATGTCGGAAGTTTTATTTATCCAATCGTTTGTTGCTAAAAATTTAACCATTAGTCTTAAAATCATGATAAACCAATAAACTTAATAATAAGTTACCTGAGAATAGAGGTTTGTATCTTAAAAAAAAAAATAAAAACAAAATACTATTATTATAATTTGATAATAATAAAAAGGATGATTACTTTAAATTGAATATTACTTTTGATACACTCATTAGATTTTTGTAAATTTCGTATTACTCCAATTCCATTCCTATAGCAATATGCAACTTGCAAAATTCCATCTAAATCACCCAAATCAGCAGATTTTTTGTAATAAATAAACGCTTTTTGTTCATCTTCTTCAACTCCAATTCCATAAAGATAGCAATGTCCAATTTGATTTATTCCTTTAGCATAACCCATCTCTGCTGATTTTTGATAGTAAATGAATGCTTTATGTTCATCTTTTCAACTCCAATTCCATCTTTATAACAGATGCCAAGTGCAAATATTCCACTAACATTCCCCATCTCTGATGATGTTTGATAATAATTGAATGCCTTATGTTCATCTTTTTCAACTCCAATTCCATAACGATAACAATATCCAACATAATATGTTCCATCAAAGTGACCCATCTCTGCTGATTTTTGATAATAAACGAATGCCTTGTGTTCATCTTTTTCGACATAAATTCCATCTTTATAACAGTCTCCAAGTGCAAATATTCCATTAGCATATCCCATCTCTGCTGATTTTTGATAATAAATGAATGCCTTATGCTCATCTTTTTCAACTCCAATTCCATTTTGATAACGATATCCAACATTATTTGTTCCTCGATCATTCCCCATCTCTGCTGATTTTTGATAATAAATGAATGCCTTATGCTCATCTTTTTCAACTCCAATTCCATTATGATAACAATCTCCGACACTAAGTATAGCTTTAGCATTCCCCATTTCAGCAGATTCGTTCTTTTCAATTCCAATTCCCAACATATAATGATTTCCAACATTATATATGCTTTCAGAATCCCCTGAATCGGAAAATATATGGTTATAATTTTCAGGTAATTCTTCTTCATTTGACATTGTTTACATAAAAAATAATACAGAATTAGCTATAGTATATGAAACTCTAAAATTATATATATATATATATACAGAAGTGTAGCAGAAATGGTTTAAAAACGTATGATATTTTCCGAATAAGGATGTTAAATTTTGTGGTTTAAAAAGCAAAATTACGATTTTTGATACATTTTTAATAAAGATATCAGTAACGTAATTTTGCTGTCACATCATGTATCTGTATTTTTTTAACACATATAGAACGACACTCTTAAATTTGTGAAACGTATCTTTGCTAAATTTGAGGAACGTTAAAGCCAGGTGCGTTAGAATTACTTTTTTGATGCAGTTAGTGTTACGTTTTTGATGCAGTAATGGTAGGGTTTATATAAATATCAAGAACGCACCTGGCTTCAACGGACCCCTTTTTCGGTTTGTGTTACTCGCGCAAATAAGTAAACTGGTAATGCACCTGCTAGGTCGTATAGCCAGACTACAAGACTCAAACAATTATGATAACACTTTACATTTACTTGGACTATGACGGCAAATAATTTAGGTCGGAGATGATTTTTATAGGAAGTTGTCAGAAGTATGAGAGAAACCAGAACGGCAATGTCATCCCGTGTAGCCGGTGGTTTTCAGCCTATTGAAGTAAGCCGGCTTTAAGTAATTGGCTGGGAGTCACCATAGGATTATTGTAGCTGGTGAAGGTATTTCCCACTTGCCGAAGTAATATTTTCAAGCAGGTAATGCTGGTTACTATCTAATATACATACTTTTTGGGCGTAGAAAAAAGTGTACGTACAATACTAGTAATTTGGCAAACCAGGAAAATGAACGCGTGCCCTTCACGGCACATGTGCCAATCATTTGGCATATCGTAAATGCGTACAAGGTTGGCGGCAAAGACTAAATTCTATAAATTCGTTAAGGTTAGGGTTAGAGTCAAAGCTAGGATCTAGAAAGGGATTGGTTATATTGTAAAATTGCTCAACGAAAACTTTTTGTTAGAGCACAAAAGGTGGTTTATTATGCTGATTTTTGAGCTATGAGCAATTTTTTGGCAGAATGAACGTTTGTTTTGAATCTTCCTGATCGTGTTACATTACACCTAATCTTGAAATCTGATTCGTAGTTCAGGAGATCTGCGCCACCAACCTTGTACGTACACATATTTACGATATGCAATCATTTGCCTGGTTGAGACAAATTATCGTATTCGACAATTTGCTTAGTATTGGTGTTATCCGGCAATTTATGATCGTATTGGTAGGAACCGAGTTTTAATTTGAATAAACATGTTTACATACTAGGAAATCAGAATCTGATGTAGGTCCGAAGCAAAAAAAAAACAATTATAACTAAGGCAATACAAAAAAAATTTTTTGGTTTTCATAACATTGAACTGTTTAAACAGACCCGGCCGGCCGGCTTTTTTTTTTAAATTTTATATATAAAAAATTTATAAATTTTTTTTAAAAAAACCCACCCGGTTATTAAAACATATAAAAAAAATTTTTTACAAATTTTTAAATTTTGACCCGGCCGGGTTATGAAAACCAAAAAAAAAAAATTTTATATGGCCTTATTTAATTGCTTAAACCGTTTTTTTATCCATATGTGACCAGATATTAAATTTTACTGTAAGTCAGCCAATCACATTGCCCTTATTTAGTTAGAAATATTACTGTATTACCGTAAAGGTGCATGTACAAGATCCCCTATGAATTAGAGTTATGGAGTCTTTATTAATTAAATGCGGTTTTTCAATTAGCTAGACTCCTATTATAACTACAAAATGTGTATGAGCTTTAAAAATTTTTTTTTCATTATATAACCTTACAATGTGTACTAGACATGGTTTAGAATGAATAGACGCGGGTCTTATATATGCACTTTTATGTTATTATTTCTGTACATAGCTGCAAGTTCATATTATAATTGTATCACATTAACCTATTAATAAAGTTGAAGAGGTCCATTATGCGATCAAATTAATTCAGAAGAGAGTTCTAAATGAGCTCAACCGCAAAATACTTGTAGGTACCACAAAAATCATATACAAGATCCAGTCTATTTCATTCCAATAATTTAAAATTCTTTAATAGACCCGGGTTTACACGCTGAGAGGCTGTATCGTGAAAAAGATTTTTAAAGTTCATACACACTTTGTATTATATACTGTATCTAAAAAATAAAATAAAATAAAGCCAAATTTGTTAATAACGATTCCACAGCTCGTGCCTGGATTTGATTCATGGTATGTCTGCTGATTAGTAATGTATCGTATACACATGAAACAACCATGGTGAAATGATATGTAAAAAATAAACAATCCGCGATGAACAGGGCATGCGGACCAATCAAATACGGACAGAGGCTCTTAAGTCGTTATATAAGTCATATACTCATATGAATTCGTTCATGGTATAGCACCCAGCTTATAACCCTTAAAATAAATTTAAACTTTAAATTTTACTTTTAATAATTAAAATAACTAGATGCGTGTTGCTTACTAGGTGAAACCTTTCGTAAATTGAAATTTCATATGGCGAAATATGTGACTGACGTAGATGACAAAGCTAAAGAAACCGAAAAATTTTGTTATAAGTTTGATTAACCTAATAAAGAGTGAGATATTTTCCAACTTTCAAGATCTGAAAGCAATCGAAATGTTATAAGTCATATCATAAACCAAATTAATACGGCTATTGAAGAATAAATAGATGTTTTTGTTGATAATTTATTTCATCCATTTTTTTCGATTCTTTTTATTATGAATAATTGATTTTACATAATTAACTTTTATATATCGTGAAAAAGTCTTGATGCATGAAGATTCTTATTTAGGTCAATGATTGCATTAAGATTAAATACTGCTTTTGTACCTTTTAGAAAAAAAGGAAAACTACCGAGAAGAACATTGCATGCTGATTTTAAGGAATACGATGTGATACGCCAACGCTCTATTATTTTATTATGAAAAGATAGGACGCATTTGAAATGCAAATGGGTGCAATTAGTAAAAATATGTGATTATAATTGTCTTGCATTTGTGTTTGATAGGAATACATCTGTGACAGCTGGATAATGGATAACTTGTGAAAAATATAGTAAAAAATTTTCGAATATATTTTGGAAATTGATATTTCCAACTCTTTTTTGATAATGCCACACCCCTGTTAATATGCATTAATATATAATATAAGAGTTTTGGTTAGAGTTTTAAAGTTAGGATTATTAGCAAGGGTGTGGCATTATCAAAAAAGGGTGTGGAAATATAAATTCTCTATTTTTTTGATCGAATTAGCAGATTTGATTTGTAAAAAGAATCTCAGTTTCTGCCAGTTTTAAAATGTATCATAATTCTACGCTTTCATTTCTTCCTAAAGCCCCATAAACAATATAATTTTAGGCTTAGCCTTCCTATTGAAACAATAATTCCAGACATTAGCCTTTACTACGTTCCCTTTTCTTTACGTCATCGTTAACCAAAATAATAAAATATTGGAATAAAAAAAATACTGAATAAAAATGAGAAGCTTGTCAACGAAGTGACAGAGTGATCATTTTTGCGAGATCAGAGGACATAGATCACGTGTCATTTGTTATGTAGGTATGAGTAGTTTGGTTAGTCTTTGTTTGTATATAGTTTGTTCAGGTTTCATGGCGTAGGAATCTTGAGTAATATGTTTATTAGGGGGTGGCATTGCTATTATTGTTAGTTTGTTTGTAAGTTATGGTAAGCCACGAATAAGGGGTGGGAGAGCTGGCGTGGGTGTTGGGGCGTTTCCGGCCAGTATGATAATTATTTAAGGAGTGTGGTTGTCATTAGAGAGCTTATCTTTCTTTTCGCTATCGCTCGCCTTGTGTTAAGGCTGACTCTATCTCCCGCCCTGTCCCTCCCTAGCCTCTTATTGTAATATGATATATATTATAATGGTAAGTTAATGAAAGGCTTCACAGCTGCGTTAGCAGCACAGGGACCTCCAAGTAGGCTCTACGGCTGCTTTGGCAGTGCAAGGACCTCGAATAGGGCTCCAAGGCTTTTTTCACAGTGCAAGGACCCATGTTGTAGGCTCCACGGCTGTATTGACAGTGCAAGGACCTCAGAGTTAGGCTCCACGGCTGCTTGGGCAGTGCAAGGACCTCAGAACTAGGCTTAGCGACTGCAGTAGCAGTGCAAGAACTTGTACATATTTGTTGTGTAGTCAAGTTAATTTCTTAGCCAATAGTACTAGCGTTTATCCTCGATTTTCTATTTAGCTATGATATCACGTATGTTACACAGTTAGATAATTTAGGTTATGTAAGTTTTGAAAGAGACCTACCCTATGAAAAGTTGATACACAGAAATGCATGCATAAATACGTAATTGTATGTGGGTAAGCACGGACTTCATAATCATTGCACGGAAACTGCACGGAAACTGACCATCCAAAAAATTTAATACACGTTATCACACGAAAAATTGAAATCTGTGCACTATTGTGCATAGTATTATATCCATATATTGACATGTATTAATCATAATTTCGTGCAATAACATGCACAATCATTAAGATTATTAATGATCATTTTCATGTACTGATGTTATGATTATCACAATTGTTAAGATTCTTAATGATCAATTATAATTCCATATACTAACGTGATGATTGTTAAGATTCTTAACGATCATAATTTCTGTGCATTAACGTGCACAAAAACATTTATTTTGTGAGTAAATAAATATTTATTGTTTTGATTTGTTTTTTATTTTGTTTTATTTTGTTTTCGATATGAATAAATAAGTATTTACTTTGTTTTTTTTTGTTTATGTTATAATTTTTATTATTTTCTTTAATTTTTTTTCTACAACTCATTAATTTTATATAACTTTTTTTTAGTTATTGTTATTGTTTTTGAAATTATCCTTAGATTCATTTGCTTGGAAATTGTTTTTTTGAAATTATTATTACTTTCGGTATGTTTTTCATCATTTTTAGAGGTATCAAGATTTTATTTTTTTTTCTTTATTTTATTTTATTTTTTTTATGTTTTAAAGGCCAGGTACTATGGCTGATTTTTTATTATGAGTCAATGTAATATTTGTTACATGAGTGAGGATACAACTAGCCACAGTGCACTTTTGGTGCCTAATTTAAGTAGTCCACCCAAAGGTTCTACACTAGCTGCCATACCTACAACCAGTATTGTACGTGGACATTGTTTCGTTAAAATTGCAGGGACGTGGACAGTCCTGGACAGTGTCCCATGTCCCGGACAATGTCCCATATCCATGATGGTGTTTCATGTTATAAAGTTTATTGAAAACCTGATTGGCTAGCAAGGCTGTTCTTATTATAATTTTAATAGTCTGTGACAAAAAAATGTTCGCAGACATGTCTGCGGACGTCCCGTCCCAGACTATCTGCTGTCCGCATCCATATCCTATAACAACACTGCCTACAACCCAACTACGGGGAATTGCCTATTTAAACCCTCTGACTTACGATCCTCCTATTACTAACTCGATTCACTATGTATTGCAGATATAACGGGCCCAACCCTTTTATTATGATGGCCTAAGGGCTACTTTACCCTCGTACCAACTGTCTACCGAACAACTTTCCATGTCTCAAACATGTAATTATTGCCAGATTTAGTAAACGAAGCTACCTGCCCTTATTAGGTTCATTCTGATTATAGTATTAGCCTTCTTTTTGGCCTATACCGTATAGACCAAATTTACTACCTCCTAACTCAGAACTTGCCAAACAGGTTCTTGTAGATTTTTTCTGGTTTTCTGGATTTGCGATACATTACTGCATCATTGCGCCCATAGGCTCCCATTCGAGATGGTGGAACCAGGATTACAGGTTTTACACCCAACCGATCAGAAGCCACAATTACTGAACACAGATTTAACTTCAAAATGTCACCAGTGGGATTCGAACTGTCAATCTGCCACTTGGGCGGTGACACCCTGACCACTTCTCTAAGGCGCCACGCCCTCTTTTTTTCTTTATTTTTT